GTGTTCACCTTTCTTGTTTAAAGAAATGATTTTCTTTCTCAGGCCTTGTGACATTTCTCTTCTCTTCAGAATGAAATGGGAAGGGGTTTTCTTTGTTTTATAATCACCTGTCTGCTGGACACCTGTTTAATGAATAATTAGACTCACCTGCAGTGGAATTCTTGTTAATTAGGATTTTGTTGTCTAAACTTTAGCTTTGCTTCTAGGACTTTCATTGGGGTGTGTTCATTTTTGAAATATGGTCTTGAATTTGTTAGGAGAAATACTTTTTTGTGTGTGCAAATGAACAAATCTTGTTTGCAATCAATGGCCGGCATTTGTGGGAGTATTTTGTAGAATTGTGTCCCATAGAAAATGTTGATTCTGAAAGGAAAGTAAAGGTTTTCTGACAAATTTGTTGGGGTGTACTCATTTATGCTGAGCACTGTATATAAAATGTATATACATATGATATTTTGGTAGTAAACACAATGCTTTGAAGGTGAAGGCAGGCTGAATTAATTTCTTCCATTGATTATGGATTTATTGCATGTTGACTGTATGATGTTATAGCAGATGTAAACTCTAGATGAATGAAATTTAAACTGTTAGTTAGTTTGCACCTTTATATAAGTATAGGTGTGACAACTTAATTCCCGAAAAGGACTGTATAAAAAAAAGTTTGCTTACCTATGCATTAGCGGCTGTTGTCACCTTCTCGTGAAATGATGCACTTTTCTACACAACTGTACCATTGCTGGAAATATTAATGGAATTGATTTTCCAGAACGCTGCACAGTATCTGTCACGGTGTGCTGGACTGTCCAGGCTGTCATCAAAGCTGTGTCCTTTTAAGGAATATTTAAATTTTGGAAACAGCCAAAAGTCACAGGGTGCTATGTCAGGGGAATACGGTGGTCAGCCAAGTTTCAGAATGGATTTCTGGGCCAGGAACTCGCAAACACTTAATGCATCATGTGCAGGAGCATTGTCGTGGTGGAGAATCCACTTGTCAGGCTAGAGTCCTGAGTATGTTTTCACTTTCCACATTTGCATTCATCCTTTGCGTTTTGGCTATTGACTTCTTGCATCATCGTGGACATCTTCTTGTCCTTCCTCAATCCACCTATGCCATTCAAAAACATTTGATTTTTTCATAGAATGTTCCCCATAAGCGATGGACCTAAAATGTCGATGTTTTGTTCCCCAATCCACTTAGTTCTCATTTTCGCCTTAAGGCAAGGTGTTCCATCATGCTGGAAAAGTCATTGTTCGTCACCAAACTGTTCTTGGATGGTTCGGAGAAGTTGCTCTCGGAGGATGTTTTTGTACCATTCTTTATTCATGCCTGTGTTCTTAGGCAAAAAATTGTGAGTGAGCCCACCCCTTGGTTGAGAAACAAACCCCACACATGAATGGTCTCAGGATGGTTTACTGTTGACATGACACAGGACTGATGGTACAGTATTTCAGCTTTGTATTTAGTTGGTTCCCTGAAGTTCAGTTTTATTTGGACTGACAATAACGTGAGGAAATGTGACACACCTGAAAAGTAGTTGATAGCCAAAATGTGGCATGTAAGAGCAGTGTAGCAATTCTCCAGTTGCAGTAAAACTTGTAGCTTCTGTTAAACAGAATGTCAACATTACAAACACCCTGGCTTTCAATGCAGTCAGATATAGAAGAGTTGCCAACATCATCTGTTTCAGAGGCTGAAGTGCGGCATGGCTGTTCCACTCCCAAGAGGGAAGCTCCTTTCCAGGATAGCAAGTTCCTAATCTTTCCCTCCATGACCCAAGATGGCCACCAAGGCTCACATGGGTAAACCAACCGGACTGCTGCTCCACTGACCCAGGAAACCATAGAGAAAAATGTTGTTTCCCTTGGACTTCTTCAGGCTAGGGTGCCACTCTTTGAGTTTGAGAGCCACCTGCAGTGGAAAAACTAACCACATTTGCCTACATGTCTTCTTCAGAAAATTTGCTACAAGAGGTTCTTCCTATCCCTTATTAGCATGACCACAAGATGCAAGCTTTATTAGCAAACATGGCTGTTGGGGGGGGGGGGGTTCTCTACGATCAGGGCCAGTTTTACAATTCTTGACCATCTAGGCCTATTGTCTTGTGCTGCCCCATCCTACCATTGTTGACTGGCCAACTACAGTAGAAGTCTAAGCCACACAATCCACAAACAAAGCAACTGGATAGAGACTGAAAGAAGAAGTTTGGCCATTTTATGTCATCGCACCTAAAGCTGATGACTTGAACTGAGCAAACTAACTCCGTACTCTAGCAGTTCAGTTCTATGTATAATGAGACAGGATGGTTAAACTGTAGGTAGACAATACATTATTTCACCAATAAGGGTCTTCAACACTAGGGACCCTGGAATATTTCATTGATAGATGGGGAGGAAGTTGGGAACCTTTTATGATACATAAGCATGTGTTGATGAAAGAAAGCATCGTGATGTGTGACTTGCTCTGGAAGTTCTGCTGCCTCAATTTAGGGCCTATGCAGAAATTCAACCATGCCTAGATTTATGATTTGAAAGCCTACAGAATACCAGGGAAGGGTGATATAAGAAAGATTTTCATGCAGAGGTTACCTTTGGCAAACAATGCATGTCAAAGTAGATACAAAGATACAAATATGTGAAGTTATGCCAGTCTCAACTTTTGTCATAAAGATTTGGCCATGGCCTTTGCATGCTCCAAAGCTAGGAGGAGCCAAACTCAACTTTTACAGGAAAAGCAGAAAACTGCACATACATTACAAGGCCAAACGTTTATGGATACCTGACAATAATGCCTACTGTATAGCCCAAAGCATGTGGACAACCCTCCAAGTTATTTAGTTTGGTTGTTTACAATGAAGGGTCCTTTTAATGCTACAACATACAAAGACATCTATGAACTTCCAACCTTGAGCCTACCTTTGAGGAAGCTCCTTTTCTGTTCCAGCATAACTGTGCCCTTCCAGAAAGCAAACTTCATATAGACATAATTTGATGAGTTTGCTGTAGAGAAATTCAAATTCCATAAAGACATAGTTTGGTGAGTTTGGTCTGGAGGAACTCAAATGTCCTGCCTGGAGCCTTGAACTCAACCCTACTGAAAACCTTTGGGATAATTTGGAATGTCATTTACAAGCCAGGTCTTCTCATCCAACATCAGTATCTGACCTTACAAATGCTGTTTTTGCTGAATATACACAAATTCCCAAGGACACAGCAAATTCTTACCACAAGAGTGAAAACTGTTCCAGCCAACTCCATATTTCTGCCTATGGGATATTCAACAAGTTCATGTAGAGGTAATGGTCAGGTGTTCATAAACATTTGACCACGTAGTGTACTTCAGCTCCCTACATCTCTGGAGCTGTTCATCACAATTACTTGCTGTTTTCACAGAATGTAACCTTTCTTTATGCATTTTCCATTATGATCTTAGGTTAAATTTTCCAAGTTTGTGAACGAGCTACTTTAAGAAGACTGCATTCCCTTACATATCAGCAAATAAATAAATAAAGACATACATGAGGTCAAGACAAGATCTTGCAAAGTATTTTAGGTCATTTCTCATAACATCGTGCCAGGTGTCTCATTACAGAGAATTGTTCCTAAATAAATCTCTGGTTTAACAGTGTTACAATATCCATTTAATGCAGCCGACGCGGAAAGGATATATAGGTTTGTAAGCACTCTCATTAATTCTATTGCTTTTCTATAGCGCTTGGGCAACATTTCAGTGGGCTGGAAATATTATCTAAGAAGGAGAAGGGGAGAAATGATGTTTGTGATCAGATTCTGGGCAAGCACAGACCATTATATCATTAAAGTGCATCAATATGTAATCGGATTTAGTGCTACACAGTCATTTGACACGTTCTAAATGGTGCGATGTCAGGCACTTGCCAAAAAATGTATGTGCTTATTTTAGCAGAGAAACCTAATGCTGCCATTTGCATAACGGTTTCTGCTTCAGCTAAGGAAAAAGAAAATAAAAAAATAATAAGGTCTGTGGTAATCAAGTGAGGAAGCATTTACGAAGGGCTTGAATAGGGTCAAATATTTTGGATTTAAAGGGTAACTCCAGAAAAAGTATTAAATGTAAATTAGTGATATTTGGTTACAAGAGGAGCCTGGTGAGCTTAGTCAGCCCTTAGCTTGTTAATTGTCCTAGATCAGCTTTTCTCAACCTGGTTCCTCTAGAGCACAGGTGTCAAACTGGCGGCCATCCAGCTGTTGCCAAATTACAAGTCCCATGAGGCATTGCAAGATTGACAGTTACAAGTAAGACTTCCAAAGGCAGAGGCATGATGGGACTTGTAGTTTTGCAACAGCTGGAGGGCCGCCAGTTTGACACCCCTGCTCTAGAGATTTACAGGGGTCCCTTTCCTTCTCTTACATAAGGCGCATTCTTCTCACTGACCATCAATGTAAGGTGCATTCTACTGACTGACAATATAAGGGGCAATGTTCCCGCTGACCACCAATGTAAGGGACATTCTTTCCACTGAAAACCAATGTAAGGAGCATTCTTCCCACTGACCCCAATGTAAGGAGAATTCTTCCCACTGACCACCGATGTAAGGAGCATTCTTCCCACTAATCACCAATGTAAGGAGCATTCTTCCTACTGACCTCCAATGTAAGGTATATTCTTCCCACTGACCTCCAATGTAAAGAGCATTCTTCCCACTGATCACCAATGTAAGGGGCATTCTTCCCACTGACCACCAATGTAAGGAGCATTCTTCCCACTGACCTCCAATGTAAGGGGCATTCTTCCCACTGACCACCAATGTAAGGAGCATTCTTCCCACTGACCTCCAATGTAAGGAGCATTCTTCCCACTGACCACCAATGTAAGGGGCGTTATTCCCACTGACCACCAATGTAAGGAACATTCTTCCCACTGACCACCAATGTAAGGAGCATTCTTCCCACTGGCCATCGATGTAAGGATATTTTTCCCACTGACCACCAATGTATTGAGCATTCTTCCTACTGATCACCAATGTAAGGTATATTCTTCCCACTGACCACCAATGTAAGGGACATTCTTCCCACTGACCACCAATGTAAGGAACATTCTTCCCACTAATCACCAATGTAAGGTATATTCTTCCCACTGACCTCCAATGTAAGGAGCATTCTTCCCACTGACCACCAATGCAAGGGGCGTTCTTCCCACTGACCACCAAAGTAAGGAACATTCTTCCCACTGATCACCAATGTAAGGAACATTCTTCCCACTGACCACCAATGTAAGGGGCATTCTTCCCACTGGCCACCAATGTAAGGACCATTCTTCCCACTGATCACCAATGTAAGGAGCATTCTTCCCACTGGCCACCAATGTAAGAGGCATTCTTCCCACTGACCACCAATGTAAGGAACATTCTTCCCACTGATCATCAATGTAAGGAACATTCTTCCCACTGACCACCAATGTAAGGAACATTCTTCCCACTGGCCACCGATGTAAGGAGTATTTTTCCCAATGACCACCAGCTTAATAAAGCATTGCTTTAACTGGGTAAACATGCAGGAGCTTACACTCTACTGCTGCAAGGTTTTCATTTAAAAAGGTCTGGTGACTAAATTTCTTTAATTAACATCCACAATGCACAAAGGGGCATTTTTTTTTTTTATTTAAGCAGGAGGTTTGGCATTGGTAAGCAGGAAGGTTGATCTTTGACCTGCGAAATCTCAACATAGGAATCTATGCAAACAAAGGGGTAAGGTAACATAATGGAGGCTTAGTGAGAGGAGAGTCTCCAGGGTAGAACCTTTTGAGGTCTTCTTCACAGCTTTACATTTTGGTACACTGTATTAAAGCATATAATGTTGCATATTACCATTTGCTAAGGTTAAGGCACCATATTCATTTAAATGGCCTGCCAATGCACCAGAAAGGGCAAAGCAACTCACACATGCCAGTTTTGGTCAATGCAGTGCATAGCAAAGCACGGTAGTTCACCGTAGTGCTTTAGAGCAGCATTGAAAAATTGATAGCACCACAACGCAATAACAAATTTAAGGCCCAAGAGTCATTGTGTAATTATTCTGGACCCAGAGAGTCTAAAACAAGATGTCAATGTGTCCCCCAAGTGCCATTGTATCACAATCTTTGTCTATCTTTGACACCAAAGGATTTATTTACTAAAGCTGGAGAGTGCAAAATCAGGATCACTTCTGCAAAGAATCAGCTTCCAGGTTTTATTGCCAAAGCTTAATTGAACAAGCTGAGGTTAGAGTGACAGCGTGGCAATATTTTGGGACCCCAAGTGTCAGTGTGTTATTATTCAAGGAAACCGAGGATCAGTATGTCATTATTCTGGGACTCCAGGTATCTGTGTGTGATTATTTTGCACCCCTACTGTCAGTGTCTTTATTCGGGGACCCCAAGTGTCAGTGTGTCATTATTCAATGGGCAGCACAGTAGCTAAATGGTTGGCACTTCCACCTGGCAGTACTGGGGTCATTGCTTCGAATCCCAACCATGGCACCACCTGCCTGGAGTTTGCATATTCTCCCTGTGCCTGTGTGGGTTTCCTCCGAGTACGCCGGTTTCCTCCCACACTCCAAAGACATGCTGATAGGTGAATTGGCTCCTGTGTAAATGGGCCCTAGTATGTGTATGTATGAATGTGAGTTAGGGTCCTTAGATTGTACACCCCTTCAGGGTTAGAGACTGATGTGAATGTACAATATATATGTAAAGCGCTGTGTAAATTGATGGCGCTATAGAAGTACCTGAAATAAATTCCAGGAATGCAAGTGTTGGGGTGTCAATTTTCAGGGGCCCCAAGTGTCAGTGTGTCATTATTCCAGGAATTCAGGTGTTGGGGTGTCAATTTGCAGGGACCCCAAGTGTCAGTGTGTCATTATTCCAGGAATTCAGGTGTTGGGGTGTCAATTTGCAGGGACCCCAAGTGTCAGTGTGTCATTATTCCAGGAATTCAGGTGTTGGGGTATCAATTTGCAGGGACCCCAAGTGTCAGTGTGTCATTATTCCAGGAATTCAGGTGTTGGGGTGTCAATTTGCAGGGACCCCAAGTGTCAGTGTGTCATTATTCCAGGAATTCAGGTGTTGGGGTATCAATTTGCAGGGACCCCAAGTGTCATTGTGTCATTATTCCAGGAATTCAGGTGTTGGGGTGTCAATTTGCAAAGACCCCAAGTGTCAGTGTGTCATTATTCCAGGAATTCAGGTGTTGGGGTATCAATTTGCAGGGACCCCAAGTGTCATTGTGTCATTATTCCAGGAATTCAGGTGTTGGGGTGTCAATTTGCAAAGACCCCAAGTGTCAGTGTGTCATTATTCCAGGAATTCAGGTGTTGGGGTGTCAATTTGCAGGGACCCCAAGTGTCAGTGTGTCATTATTCCAGGAATTCAGGTGTTGGGGTGTCAATTTGCAGGGACCCCAAGTGTCAGTGTGTCATTATTCCAGGAATTCAGGTGTCGGGGTGTCAATTTGCAGGGACCCCAAGTGTCAGTGTGTCATTATTCCAGGAATTCAGGTGTTGGGGTATCAATTTGCAGGGACCCCAAGTGTCAGTGTGTCATTATTCCAGGAATTCAGGTGTTGGGGTGTCAATTTGCAGGGACCCCAAGTGTCAGTGTGTCATTATTCCAGGAATTCAGGTGTTGGGGTATCAATTTGCAGGGACCCCAAGTGTCATTGTGTCATTATTCCAGGAATTCAGGTGTTGGGGTGTCAATTTGCAAAGACCCCAAGTGTCAGTGTGTCATTATTCCAGGAATTCAGGTGTTGGGGTATCAATTTGCAGGGACCCCAAGTGTCATTGTGTCATTATTCCAGGAATTCAGGTGTTCGGGTGTCAATTTGCAAAGACCCCAAGTGTCAGTGTGTCATTATTCCAGGAATTCAGGTGTTGGGGTGTCAATTTGCAGGGACCCCAAGTGTCAGTGTGTCATTATTCCAGGAATTCAGGTGTTGGGGTGTCAATTTGCAGGGACCCCAAGTGTCAGTGTGTCATTATTCCAGGAATTCAGGTGTTGGGGTGTCAATTTGCAGGGACCCCAATCGTCAGTGTGTCATTATTCCAGGAATTCAGGTGTTGGGGTGTCAATTTGCAGGGACCCTAAGTGTCAGTGTGTCATTATTCCAGGAATTCAGGTGTTGGGGTATCAATTTGCAGGGACCCCAAGTGTCAGTGTGTCATTATTCCAGGAATTCAGGTGTTGGGGTATCAATTTGCAGGGACCCCCCCAAGTGTCATTGTGGGGTCATGCAGGGACCCCAATTCTGCACCCCTTATTTGGGTTCCCAAGCATTGCCCTCTATGCTGGGAGCTCTGGACAAAATTTACCCCCACTGATCTGCCAGCACAGACAATAAATGTATCATTTTGTTGTTCTTGGCAACAAAAAGAAACTCTTTTACCCAAAATAAAAAAAAGTGTTTTGATAATGGAGATATGTGCTCTACTGAATAAGTAAAACTTTTAATAGTAGGTCCACGTCAACGTAACCCGAATGGTCTCCCTAGACGTCCAATTGCTTTAGCACTGAATTGTTGTTCCCTGAAATTTCTGTGTAAAGAGCCTTGTTTGGATGGCTTCTATATTTTTGCATTTTGAAGAATTTTGCTATCTCTCAAAGGCCCTTCTCAAGCTGCTTATTCAACAAGAACAGAAATTCTGCATTAACCTGAGTAATATGGTGACCTATGTAAATGATTTCCGAAGTTTTTCCTTTTAATGAAAACAACCATCAAAATAATAGGAAGAATAGGGATCCGGCCTTTTGCAAATCAGTCTTTAAGCTTCAAAGATATGAGAAGCCTGGACATTCATCATAATTAGTTTTACAGCCGGATGGCGCGGGCATATTTATGTAGGAAGCTTCGTGGAGGGGTCCCAGAAGTGGAGTTTGCAGTCTGTGTGAGCTGTATTTATGTGCGCTGCTGCTAATCTGCTCTGCAGCCTTCGTCCTTGTAAATCTCTCTTGTCGAAAAATCTAATTCACTGATTGTCACCCATGAGATACTTCATAAAACAATTCATGGGAAGAGAGAGAGAGCCAATTGTGTGGTCTGACTCTCACCAGCACCAGTTTATGTTTCCAGCCCCAGACGTTGGAAAGGGATTGCGCCTCTAACCTAAAGAGTACCAGTCATGGCATACTATTTTTGAGTCTGAATCTTTAACTTAAAGCCAAAATGTTTTTTTTTTTATTTTAATACTCTCCTGCTCCCCCCCGTGAAAGCTTTAAGTGGGTCTAAAATGTTAATAATTCATAATGTGTTGCGCTCCCGGTATTAATCTCTATTGTGTTAATAATTCTATTTACCCATGGCTCGCAAGGCATACAAATATCTGTTAATTATCTAAAATGTTATGTTACCCCCAATGTTTCATATTTCTGATATGTGTTTGCATTACCAGGTACTTGTATTAAAAAAAAATATTCTGTTCTCTTGGCATTGCTTGCTATGTGTGAAATACATGATGATCCTGTCAGTATCTCTGCTTTCCTATTTACACTGACCACACCAGAGTATGGAATCACATTCATCTCAGTGTGGTCTGTTTGCTTCTTTGTATTCTATTTGGGAGCACAGACTGCCTATCCACCAGTCATCAGACTTCTGCTGACATGTCCCCACTACCAGGGGCGGACTGAAAACTCATGGAGCCCCCGGGCAATAGGGGATCATGGGGCCCCTGTGTCCTTGCCCAAACTCAAAAAAGCCTATGAAAAAGGTACCAGGGGCATCTCATGGGGCCCCCTACTGACCCTGGGCCCTCGGGCAGTGCTTCCAGTTTCCAAATGGTCAGTCCGCCCCTGCCCCGACACAGCTAAACACTAGGATGATCAGTTTATTGCTGTGTCTCTGCAGCCTCCTCCTGGCACTCCTCTTCACAGCTCTTTATTATGAAAATTATTGTACTGTTGTTTCTTTGCTTTCTGCTGACATTCCCACCTGTCCAAATATTCATTAGGAAGATCAGTGTCCTGTTGTTTCTCTGCCTCCTGATGACACGCCCATTCACAGCTCTTCTTTATGAAGAAGTGTACTGCTGTTTCTCTGTGATACTGCTTCTTTATGAAGATCAGTTACTGCTGTTTCTCTGTCTCCTGCTGACACACCCACTTGTCCAGATGTTCAATGGGAAGATCAATGTACTGCTGTTTATTTGCCTCCTGCGGACACTCACTCCTGCCCTGCTCATCACAGTGCATTTGTCTCTGCATTGTACAATGTATTGTGTCTGTGACCCATTCAAGCTGCTGCTATTGCCTCCCCCTCCAACGCCCCACCCCCATCCCCCATCATCAAAAGGAGTCTCCACCCCCATCTTTCTATGCAGCTAAGAATAGAGGTCATGTGATCACTAAAAAAAAGTGTAGCACCCTCCTAGGTAGGTGCTAGGGTTAGATAGATACAAGTAGTTATGTCTTTGATAGGTAAATGTAGTTGTCACTCTGTAGTCAGAGTGGCTGTAATTATTTGTTAGGAAAAAGCCTAGTTAGCTCCTGTACTTGGCGAGCTGTGATCATTTAGTGAGGTCTGCTCTGTGTGCTCAGCATCTGCCAGGCTGCCCAGCTCAGGGCCATCTTAACAGTATCATGGGTCCCTAGGTAAAGTAATGCACTGGGGCCCCTACCAGCA